TTGTGGTTGGTGGGTGGGGGGGGGGGGGGGGGGGGGAAGAATTATCCATTAAACATGATTGCATAAGCAAAATATCTTATCTCTTGTAAAAACACATCTCAAACAGAAAGAAACTATTGTTGCTCTGTAAGTACTTTGGCTTTTCTCTGGCCTTCCTTGAATGCGTGAGGAGGATGTTGACTCTATCCTGTTTAGACTGTTTAATCTGAGCTCTCTTTCTGTCACTTCGCTTGAGAAGTTGAGGTGAATGTCTCTACAACATTCTAGCGTCTTTCTTGATTTTGGAAGTTGCGGCATTTCATAACAGCTTTCACAATTTAGATTGGAGCTTATCCAGGAAGCTTTAAGTTAGCTAAAACTCCTTAGATCCTGAAGAGCATGTGCAGAAGATGCTAGATGATGAGTTTAAGTATGCATTTTAAACCTAAGGCACTTGTAAGCAGCCCAGTAGGGGCTGGTACTAAAGGATCCTCTATTTCTGTCTTAGTGTCTAGCTTTATGCTGTGTATAGTCTTTCAATATCAGACATAGTCTGATAATCCTCTCTGATACATCTAACCTTCACAGGTGATAGATGTCAATGAATTTCTTTTCAACCTAGCTTATTTATTTTCCTTCAAGTCACCTGTATATGTTAGCTATTTATTCCAGGGACAGTGTAGACACATGGCTGTAGGTTCGGCATTTGCTCAACACAGAGAGAGAACCCTGTGTCTTTGCATGTGCTAATTAAAGCTGAAACCAGCTCTTTGGTTTCTGGTTACTGTACATTGACTGAGTACTCAGAAGTAAACGCAACTGATGTCTTCTGTAACCAGAATTTGAGAATCATCTGTCCCATCTTACCATGTGGTTCTTATGTTTTGCTTTAGTATGTACGTAGTACACTAGAGTCATAGGATAATTTGAGTTGGAGGGGACCTCAGAAGCTTTCTAGTTCAACCTCCTGCTTGAAGCAAGGTCAACTCTAAGGCCAGAGGAGGGTACTCAGGGCATTATCCAGTCTGGTTTTGAAAATGTCCAGCAATGAAGACTATACAACCTCCTTTGGCAAGCTGGTACAATGCTTTTTCCATATTATACCCTGCCTGGTGAAGAGAACAGAGTCTTCTATGCTGAAGTGAAGGAGGAGAACTGTGAGTGTTGAATTGGTGGTCAAGCTTCATGGAGTAGAATACCAAAGCTCTGTCCCCTCTAGGATCAAGCACTCCTGGTCACTTGTAAGCCAGTATGGGTTTTTTAATGTTGTTGGTGTTGTTGGCTTTCTTTGGTTGGGTTTTTTGTTTATTTTTTTATTATCAGTGTATATATATTATCAGTATGGGGAAAACATAACTCTTACACATTAGTCTTATGTAAGTCCATGAGATCATTTAGATTTTTGGCTAAATACTGTAGATTCTTGTGGAACTAACTGAGCAAACTGAATGAATGTATGGGTCTTGAATGTTTCTGTGAATTATCAAAATTATAATTTTATGGTATGACTTAAACAATTTTTTTGCCTACTTACATGAGGGGAGAATCTAAGCTCCTCCGGCTGCTTGTTTCTGCTTTTTGTTTTTCATAAACATTAGTGGAAAGCAAGTGTGAATGTTTTCAACAATGTTATTTTTCTGAATTTTAACATATTAATGAGTTGGAAAAAAGATCATCAGTGTCTACTCCTAAGTGTTTTGACTTACAGCCTCAGAGTAGCAAATACTATAATCTGATGCCCTCTATAAATAGTTTTTTTCTGGACTGAATTATTTTACATGCATCCTCACTTACTGGTAAGCTTTGTCTATGAGCAGAGAAGTGGATCATCATGAAATACTTCTAATAGCCCAGGGCTGCTGAGTCATTTTAAGTAATTTTCCAGTCTATTTTAAATATTATAGCTTAAGGTGGTATTTCTGGGGTATTCTTGCCTACATTTTGATACCAAAGTTCTTTTTTTCCGTATGTAACTTTATTTCCAATACAAGTCCTTTGCACCTCAGATTTGCATGCATTCTTCAAGGTCTGTGTGGCTGAAGTTGGCTAAAGCCCTCATCTTTGCTAAAGAGGAATCAAACTAGCTATTTTTGGAGCTTTGGCACTGAAACAGATTGTATCTTGTTCCTCCTCGCTGCTTGAAATTTCTTTAGCAATATTATCCAGTTTTTAGCCTGCCTTTTCGTGGAGTCATTTATCCCTGCTTCAGGAAGCCTATTTGTGAGGCAGAGGGGGTCCATTACTTGCCTTGATAACAGTAAAAATTAGTAGACAAGGAGTGCTGTGACTCTGCAGAGCATCAAGGCACAAAGTATATTTCTAGAAATCCATGGTATTTCTGAACAGCGTACTCATGAATGTGACACAGATGTCTGTGTCCTCTTTTGGCACCCGTCTTTGATACAGCTAGGATTACACTACTAATCTACCTTTCAAATGATGGACATAATATACCCTGCAGGATCAGAAGTTTTTGTTAATTTTACTCTTACAAAAGTCTTACTAAGTTGGTGTCATGACTAAACTGACTGCTCTTAAGCTTTTTCCTCACCCCTTTTGATAGAAGCACTAAGGGCAAGAGGGTATCAAGCTGACTGAATTCAAAGATTTGCACAAGCAAACTGGCTTTTGGACCTCTCTTCTCAGAAAATAAAATAGCAACACTCCTGACGTAGATTCTTCCGTGCAGGAGCCGTGCAGTTTTCCAGTGAATTGAGCAGTTTTGAATAAGATGGCTTATATTTCAAAAATAGTATGGTTTTCTTTTTGAAGTCTCCAGGTTTGTGCAGGGACATACTGTTTGAAGCGTAGATGTTTGGAGAGGGCCTCTATTTGTGTCTCTCTGGGGGCTGTGTTTAAACAACTCTGCTGCTCCTTGAGAAGTAAAAGCTTATGCAAAAGTTTTGTCTCAACTTCAGAATCTGTAGATCAGCATCAATAAAATTGAAATGGCTCAGATACTGCTCAGATATTTTTTAGGCTTGTGAAACTGTCTAGGCTTTACCAACACAAAACCCTGTGGTGCTGGCCCTCAAGCGTTGGATGATAGTCACAAGTCTAGTTTGCCAAGTTCTGTGCTTTTACATGCCTCAAAGCCTATCTTAGGGTTTACTTAAATTTAAGAAATGTATAGTTTGATTAAAATCTTGGTCACAGTGTTTATTTCCTGGAATTCTTCCATGAAGAGACTAAGAAAATAATACGTGCAAATAAAAGAGCTTTCTGGAAAACCTGCTTATCCAGTCCACCTGTTCTAGCTCTCTTTCTTAGGGAATTGTTACCTTCAAACACAGTCTGCATCCTTCACTAAATCCTTCATTTAACGTCTTGGCTTACTGTGGCAATAAGGTAGCACTCTTGCAGCAAAGATCTAACATGTTTTAGCTCTGTCTCTTGGATTCTCTGGGTTTGTCAGGTGGCAAAACTTCACTTCATTGTTGATTGGAGTTCTCAGTCTCTTGTCTTCATGGTCTGCAAGCTGCTGCCATCACTGTTCCAGCATCTGTCCTGAGCAGCACCATGACAGTATTGTTCAGCCTCAGCTGTGCTGTGGGTCTGATTTGCGGAATCTCGCTGGGGCAGAGCTTGTTGTACATACTCTGATTCTTTTTCTCATATTTCTGGTCACCTTAGCAGACAGTGTAGATGAAAGACAGATTTCCACAGGTGCTTAAAAATGAAGGTTTCTTTCCAAGTAGTCTCCTTTTCTTTAGAGTAATAGGCTCACTATCTCTCTCTTAGTCATATTATCATAGAGTTGTTTTGGCTGGAAGGGACCTTTAAAGGTCATCTCGTCCCTGCAATATCTGCAATGAGCAGGGACATCTTCAACTAGATCAGGTTGCTCAGAGCCCCATCCAACCTGACCTGGAATGTTGCCAGGCATGGGGTGGCATCTACCACCTCTCTGGGCAACCTGTGCCAGGGTTTCACCACCCTCATTGTAAAAGAGTTGTAAAAAAAAAAAGAGTTGTAAAAAAATTGTAAAACCCTTCCTTAGATCTAGTCTAAATCTACCCCCTTCCTGGAATTCTTCCATGAAGAGACTAAGAAAATAATACGTGCAAATAAAAGAGCTTTCTGGAAAACCTGCTTATCCAGTCCACCTATTCTAGCTCTCTTTCTTAGGGAATTCTCTGAGAAGTCCTTCAGTTATGTTCAATTTTTCTTTTCCTTCTGTCTTTTATCCTTAGAAGAACAAAACCACTTTTTTTCCTTTCCTGCCTTTACCTTTTGCTGGTCATTGTGGTGGTCATTAATAGAAATTATTCTTAACATAGTCAGAATCCCCAGACTGCACATTCTCAAATGTCTTCCCAGTTCCTTAAACTGAGAGGTGAGCTCAAGTGACAGAAAAATGCTTTTGCTGCTCCTGCATGAAGCACTATGAGCCCATAAATTACTCCCTTGATAAGTCACTAGACCTTGTAGGTAACTCTTTTCTTTGTGGGATTCTATGAACAGTAATAAGGTGAGGTGATTCAGACTAGAAGCAAACGTGCTTCTTCATGCCAGGTGGGGTACATCAGGCCTTCCAGAAGGCTAGGGAAGATTGACACATCCAAACTCTTCTATACCTGTTTTTGCGTTATGCTGCTTGCTAGTTGAAGCAGCATGGGTCTAAGCAAGGCCTATGCATTTGTGCTGTTGAATCTTATTACTCTGCATGTGGCCTCAAACAACCTGCCAACCTTCCCACCCCAAAACCCATGTCAGGGTATGTAAATGTCTCAGTAGAATTGGTGACTAGGGTAGCTATGAGATGGAGGTGGAGTCTGGGAGTGGGTTAAAAAAAAAAAAAGGATAAAATTTCACTGAAGGACCACACCCTGCTGGTTCCTTGCCAGAGATTAGTCATTCTGCCTCTTAATGCTCTCTTTTGAAGCTGGATGGCCGTACATAGGTTTAGAAAATTTTCCATGTCAATTGTTGGTAGTGACTAGTCACGCAATTGAAAGTATGTGGCCAAACTTTGCAAGAAGGTTCTTTAGTAACAAAGGAGCTGCTTTTTTTTTCCCCCTACTCTGTGTTGTTACTGTATAAAGTACTATGTTAAATAGATCTGACTCTTCTCATTCCGTTGCTAATAAAACTCTTTTAATTCTAGATTTGGATATCAAAACATCAGGGACTGGCTGTGTGAAGATTCAGAAAATAGAGTGTGATAACTGCAAAATAGAAACGGAGAAGGGGACTAGTGTCTTGCAATCAATAAAGGTACAAAGAACCCTCACCCACTCTATCAGTGTTTTAAAAGGGATTGTGTGGTGGAATATAGTATAAAAACTTACATACCAGTTCTGGAGATGAGAAGTACTCTGATATTTCTAAGTGTTACTATGTGTGTAGGATGTCACCTTCACTTATTGCATACAATTATGACACAAAGTCAATAACACTAAATAAAGTGGAGTCAGAAGTCCAGGTACCTTTGATAGCTAAAGCCAGTAGAAACAGTGAGAGCAGTAAGCCTGATATCTGCCCTCCCCGCCCCTAAAAAAAACAACTACTAAACAAAGGAAAAAAACCCCAGACTGGGATTTCCTGTCTAGTGGGTTAATTATAATAGTTATGCTTGCTCAGTTGGGACTTTGCAGTATGCTGTTTGCTTTTTTCTTTTCCTGAGTTTTTTTATAATTCTGATATATCAATGCTATTGACAAACTCTTTAGGTTAATTTTCAATCAGAAGTTACACATTACATGTCCAAAATACCTGACTGAAATTTGTCTGATAAATACCATGTATATCATGGTCATGACCTTTTTTTTTTCCAGTCTTAAGACTTCAGGTTTTCTGACATAGGCTTTTGTAGAAATAATCAAAGTGTATCTGATTTAGGTGCTGTTTGGAATCAAATTCACTTGAATAATTGAGACTGTATCTGCAGGAATTGGTATAAATTCAAAAGAAGGGTTTTTCAAATAGGGTAATTCCTAAGTTTAAGTATTTTGAGATATGGAAGGTCTTTCAACGTTTTTCTCTATCATAGTAAGGGATGATTTTATAGCACACATCTGGGAAACTGAACCTAAGGGGAAATTTAATATACAGTAGAGCTAGGTTTACTCCATATTCCATGAACTACAAGACAACTTGTATCTTCCAGATTCTGTGTAGTTGACCATATTACTCTTAATAAGGTAACTAAAATCTAACAAAAAGCTAATAGTGCTATATGTGTTACTGCTGTCTAAAGCTTTGGCTAAAAATGACTGTCATACGATAATAACAGCAAGCAGCAGTACATGAGAAACTACATAAGATGAGAGAACAAGGCATTTTGCCCAGCAATACAGACAGATGTCGTGGAAGAAGAGGATTTTGAGGAAAGTGAACTAACTAACTTTGTGGGCATCTTTTCTCATATACAGTCTGAGGTGTGAAAAATGTTGAATTTTAAAAATGAAAAAGTCAATTCTATTTTCCTTGAGACTTCAAGTAGCAATGAAAGAATACTCTTTAATGAACTGAAAAAAAGGCTGCAAAGTCTTTGCAAAGCCCCCCCAGTTTGGGGCTTCTGAGACCAACTCCTCCATGTCCTCATTATAGGTTAGAGGAGCCTGGTGTTGCTTTTTTCCTCTGTCAACTTTGAGCCTTGCTTGATTCACAAAAATGTCAGGAAAACTACAAGTGCAAAAGATGATCCTTCCCTGTGCACACGCCTCAATGCATCCACTACATTACTGGCCTCCAGAAGCTTCTTTGCTCCCTTAAGCCTCAAATAAGAAGCATGGCCTTGTCCCAAAAGGCATTTAAAGTTTAAAGAATCAAGAAAAAACTGTAGATTTCAACTGAAACACTTGTTAAAACAAAACTTTGGTAGGTTATAAGGCTTTGGCTTTTTTAACCAAAATAGTTGCCGAAAGTATTCTTTTGGGTTGTGAGTGTTGATTGATTGTCTTTTGTTCTGTTTACTGTCATGGCTTCAACATACAGTACTACAGAAGACATGTTACCACTCTTGGTTTTGTTGACTGAAGTAGCGAGATAAACGTTTGCAGTTAAAATTACTGACTATGTAGGTGTTTGCAGTAGCAAACAATTGTCCAGTTATAGTATCTTTTAGACATACAATCAGGTTTTAGGCTAACGTTTTTAAGAATTATTGTAGTTCTAGTAAGGCAACTGTAACTCTGTTTTTCTAATATAGGTTCAGGAATTATACTCTGTATTAGCAGAGAAGCAGAGTTATTGGTGAGAAGCAGAATTGTTAACCTTTTGGATTTCACAAAGCTACTGAAAATCTAATAGACTAGATTCTGTGGCACAGCACAAGAGCTGATTCTCCTTTAGGGAATGTGCTTTACCGAGCAAACTGAAGTGATACTGCCCTCCCCTGGATGGATTAAAGAGCTGTTTACTGTTGCTTCACTGTCATGCTGTCCACAAACCTCATTGACTAGCAAACCAGGAGACCCTTTCTTTAGAGTAGAGAGCAAAAGATCGTTGATCAATTACTTTAAATAAATAAAATTTAAATAAATGAAAAAAATCTGGTCATGTGGGGTTTACTCAGGAGCACCAGCAAACAGCTTCACAACCGCTAATTCTCATAACTTGCTAGAGGCTGCAAGAAGTTGTTGGTATAATTTGTAATTAAAAAAACTTGCTGATTTTTGGTATACTGTATGATGTCGTCACAGAAGACCTAGAAATCTGACATCTACTTTCTGTAATCATGCATGCTGGTAACTGAACAGAAAAGATGAGTATTCTGTATGAGTTTGTTTTTAATGAATTTTGACTGGCACTTTTGGTGTGGTAGGCATTATCCAGCCAGTGAGATTTGTTGAGGGTTGTTTTATTGAGATTGGGGGTTTTGGGGGTTTTTTTTTGGTGGTTGTTTTGCAATTGGCTAAAGCCCAGATCACCCTATCCCTTCTAAGTCCCTAGGTCAACTGATAGTAGCAGCAATTCCAAAATACCATTATGACTTCTAGGTGTTCTTCAGAGAATAAATTATTCCCAAATTCTTTATGGAGAGAGAAGTGCTGCTTCTTTTTTAATTTTTTTTCTCCTTTTTACAGTCCATCAGCTTAGCAATGACAGTAGGATCAAGGAGACCCTTTGATTTTGTTTCTATGTTCAATGATTACTTCTGACTCCTTGATTGTGCCGGTGGCAACAAAAATTTCCAGGCATCTCCTGCATGATCAGTGGAAGGCCTGCTGTGCTTCCTTACCACACGCGAGGTCTGAGCCCAGTTCGTTAAAGTCCTGCAGTATTGTCCTTCCTTTCTTTGAACTGAACAAATTTTTCTGTTTTAATATCTGTCATGGCCTTGACAGCCTTTTACCTCCTTCTTACTTAAACCTTTTTCCATTGCTAGGAGAAGCCATATGACAAATAAGTGCTGCTTACTTTCAGCTATTAGAATATGCCCTCTTCATGAAAAAGCTACGTGACCATTATAACTTGCTTCCTCTCTCAGCAAATCCTGCTGTCTGTTAGGTGTCTCTATTGATACCTACCTCTGAAAGGCTGTTTTCTCTGTTTTTTAACAGGATAGGGATAGTCTAATAATTCTGGGGAAAAAAGTTGAGGGACCTGTGTCGTATCAAAGCTTTTTCTATCCCAAAAATGATAGAGTAAAAAATAAAAGTAATTTGAGCAAGTAAGCGTGTATGCCATGGTTTTATTTTACTTAACTGTCAGTGGCCATGCTAGTAAGTTATTGCCATATGTTAATTATTCTAATTTTATGAGTTCCTGTGTTTTCCTCAAGTTATATGCTGGGAGGATTTGCTCTTTAACCATTATTCTGATAATGTGCCTAATGTAACTGCCTCAAAGGAACTGTGATATCTGGCATCTAATTTAACTTTATTCTTTTTACTGTATATGGAGAGAATAATCTGTTACATTTGTATAGAAGCTTAACTGAACAGCCAAGTTATTTACGCCTTTAAAAGGTCTGAAGCACTACTGTAGTCTCAAGTTAGGGGTGTTGCATTTTGCTGTGGGGAAGCCTCTTAAATGAAGAGGAGAAAGCAAGGCTTGGGAACACAAAGATTAATAAACATTGCTCTAGAGTTCTTCCTGTGTTATGAAATGCTGTGAAAATTCTGGTTCTTGGCGTTTCATCAGAAATGTGTAAGAGCAGTGTAAGTCCATGTTTTCCATATTGGAAACTTGATTTCTTGTTTTGTTTGGGGTTTTTTTAAGTCCTTAATCTTGTTGCCATCTGATTAGACCTAATTAATGCAATTTATTATGGCTTATCCAGACAAGTGTTTAATAATCTAAATATCTTGAATATTTCTGATATGCTTGATTGCCAAATTTAATGGATAGTGTCCTAAATTAAATACCATCTACAGGAATAATACGCTTTTCAACAGAAATTAATATATCTGAAAATAGAGGTGGTGGTATGGGAAAATGAAGGAGTGGGGTAGGGAGAGCTTATCCAGGATTAAGTATAAAAAGTGATGAATTGTTTTTTTTAATTCTATGTTATTCCAACGTTCACACTAGTGAACTTAAGCAAAAGAGTTTTGCTGTAGGCTTCTTAAAGTCAGATTTGTTGAAGTTGCAGCTTATGAATAGAGTTAGATTTTTTTTTTAAACCTGATTTTTAAATTATTTTTTTCTTTTTCCCTTCTGCCTTCTTACAAATGGTTGGTTTTAACTCTCAAGACCTGTTGGGTTTTTTGTCTTTCTGAGATTAGTTCGTGTGTATTCTGTACATTTTTTCCTCTTGTCATTTGTATGCAGCAGCAGCTGAAAGGCATAAGGGCTATTAGCATTTGTACTTGAAACCTGGTTTCTTTGTGGAAAAAATAGAGATTGTAATGCAGATGTATGCAAAATACCTAATTTTAATTAGAATCTGGTTGGAGTGAAACACTGTAGGATCTGGTTCTACTTGCAGGCCTAAGATTTGCACTGGTATCCATCCGTAGAAGTTTATGGTGGTACATACCACTCCAAGCATAAGTAGCTCTGTGGTGTGTTTCTGTGTATATATGGTTATCCTACAGACTTCTGTGACACTGTAGGTTCCAGGTCGCTGGAAGACTTGAGTTTGCGAGTTCATTTCTCACTGCCAGCTCATGTTTCTCATCTGCTGCAGCACTGAGTATATGCATACCTTGGTTTCTGGGTGCAGTAGAAATGAAACAAAGTTCCTTCTTTCTTTCCCTGCTGCTTATTTTAATATA